CCTCATTTCCCTGCTGAAGGTCTATTGTTCTGTTCATTTATAGATCCTGTTTCTGTTCCATAACAACACAGTAGTGGCATTTAAAGAAAACGGCACATGCCTACCTTTCAAGACGAATTTCAAAAAAGCGGGAACAAAAAGTAAGTAAATCTGAATAATGCATGAAACAGCGCACTTTAAAAGGTTTTTTAAAAACGAGATAGTGATAGTATAGTAAAATACGATGCATAATAGATAATGGAAGGTCTCTTTCCCTTTCTTACATGGTAATTTTCTAACTTACAATGCTGTGGTGTCGTAACGTGTTAAAAATTAAGAACGGATGCTGCCAAACTGGGTTAAGTTCAAGGTGCTGGTTGCATGCAGCTTGGGGTCTGGATATCTGAAGGGCCACCTCAGTCTTATATATGATTAGCTGATTACTGTGATCTGCCATTGAAGGCCTTCTATAGATATCATTGTATCAGGAGGTCTGTCCCACACAATGTGACAACTAGGCCTTTAGAGTTGTGGCACCTACCCTTTGGAATTCCTTCCTGCAAAATATTATCCAGATACTGTCTCTTTTGTCTTTCCATCAACTGCTGGAGACTTTTCTCTTTCAAGAATCTCTTTTTAAGTAAAGATCTTTCTCAAAACTAAGTTGGGTCCCACATTAATCACAAAGAGGCACTCGCTCAAGTGTGGAAGTAAAATGCTACTGGCAGCATTGGCAGACTGAGAGTTAATATTTGGCGTAAGGTCATCCGTCTCACAGAGAAATGTGAGAAGAAGCAGCCATCAGTTTTGGTGGCTGATTGCTGCTGAAGTTAACTGTAGTCTCTGGGTCCCAAGTGGTGTTGATTTCAGTGAAGATGTTGACCCAGGACATGGCATCTTGAAAAAGGCAAATTCCACACTAGGGTTAAACGGGAAAGGATTTGAAAATAAAGCTGCCAATATTATAACACTGTTATACAAATCTGTGGCGCAGCTGCATTTGGAGTACTGTGCATAGTTCTGGTCATCTGATCTCGAAAAGGACATTGTAGAATTGGAAGAGGTTCAGAAGAGGGAACCTAAAATGATCAAGAGCATCTCCACCCCCATCATTCAGCCTGGACACTGAGGTCCAGCTCCAAGGGCCTTCTGGTGGTTCCCTCACTGTGAGAAGTGAGGTTACAGGGAACCAGGCAGAGGGCCTCCTCAGTAGTGGTGCCCATCCTGTGGAACGCCCTCCCATCAGATGTCAAGGAAATAAACAACTGACTTTTAGATGACATCTGAAGGCAGCCCTGTTTAGGGAGGTTTTTAATGTTTAATGTTTTATTGTGTTTTTAATATTCTATTGGGAGCTGCCCAGAGTGGCTGGGGAAACCCAGCCAGATGGGTGGGACATGGATAATAAATTATTAGTAGTAGTTATTATAAGAGGATAAAGTGACTCTCCTGACATGAAATGTGGCAGCTTTCAGGACATTTTAGTTCAGAAAAAGGCAAGTAAGAGGAGACATGATAGAAGTTTGTCAAAAATTATACACGGCACCGAGAAAGTGGACAGAGGAAAGTCCCTCTACCCATGTAGCACTAGAACTTGTGAAGATCCAATGAAGCTGCATGTTGGAAGATTCAGGACAGACAAAAGGAAGTATTTATGCAGTACATAGTTAAGCTATTGTCTTCTATCCCAATGGAGGCAGTGATGGCCTCAGACTTGGGTGCCTTTAGAAGAGTAGACAAATTCATGGAGGATAAGGATATCATGGCTACTGGCCATGATGGCTATGTTCTCCCTCCACAGGCAGAATCAGTACGTCTCTGAACACCAGTTGCTTTGGAATTTCAGGTGGGCAGAGAACTGTTGCTCTTAGACCCTCCTTGTGAGCTTCCCATGGCATCTGGTTGAACTCCTGTGGGAACAGGTTGCTGGAAAAGATGGGGCACTGGCCTGTTTTTGGACCAGATGACCCTTTGGATCCCTTCCAACTTTACAGTTCTATGATTCCATGATACCATGATCAACACTCGGGAGTATAGACGGGGCCTGGTTCATTGGCTGCCGCTGCAAACAAGCAGCAATCCTTTTGCAAATCAATTGCAGGGAACCAAGTTTTGAATAATGCAGGAGGAACAAGCAGATGTACAACATCCACAATATTAGCTGTTTTACACAGAACAAATTCTTAAGAAGCAAACTTCTATTTACCAAAGTCTTTAACTCTTTTGATAAAAAAGCAGCAAAATAACAGGTATTCGATCTTCAATCAGTGGGGGTTAGCAATGCAGCGTAAACACGTCTTTCTCCAGAGAAATAGACCAGCTTTTAACAGCTCCAGCTTCTGCTTGATCTACAATATGAATAATATGAAAGAAATATGTTTTTTACTCTCCCCCCCTCCTACTTTCACTTGGAGCTGGTGAAGAAAAGCCCTTAGAAAATTGCATGGAGATGAATATATATTCCACTTTCCCCGTAGACAGGCTTTATACCAAATATCTCAAAATGATTACCTGCAGAATGCTTGAGATCTCATAGTGTCTAACTCTGCAATCTTGCACATGTTTACTCAGGAGTAAGTCACACTTTGATCAGTGTTAAGGTATTTAGGATTCCTGCCTTATTGATGCAAGTCACAACTGAGGATGACCCTTCCCTTTGTAACCTCTCATTTGTCATATGCTCATTTTTGTTTTCATACAGTAGCTACTTAAAGTTTACCATCCAGCATGTGCGGCGAATTTAAAATGGTGGTGCCAACAAAACAGTACCGTTGTAGCAGTGACAGCAGAACAGAAACCTACAGTCACCGGTGATGTGGTGTTTTATTTATGTACAGTGGTACCTTGGGTTATAGATGCTTCAGGTTACATACACTTCAGGTTACACTCCGCTAACCCAGAAATAGTACATCGGATTAAGAACTTTGCTTCAGGATGAGAACAGAAATTGTGCGGCAGCAGCGCGGCAGCAGTAGGAGGTCCCATTAGCTAAAGTGGTGCTTCAGGTTAAGAACAGTTTCAGGTTAAGGACGGACCTCCTGAACGAATTAAGTATGTAACCAGAGGTACCACTGTATTTCTTAATTTATTTTGTTTAAAAATAGACATTTTTGAGAACGCTTTCAGGGCACAGCCCCTTAACATAAAAGCAACCATAAAATACAATGTCACATTTCAATTAAATCACCCGTGTAACGAAGCAGGCAATTCACAGACCAGGAGCACAGCGTTATAACCTTACCCGCATCAATTTAAAGAAAGTTTTACATCATCAGCACTATAGCTCCTTTAAGAAAAGCAAATTGAAATGAGTTACTTTGCAGAGCCCATTTAAAATTCTCTACTGATATTACTTTGGAGGGAGCTCTCTGTAACTGTGGGGTCACCACCGAGAAGACCCTGCTTCTGATTCTCACAAATCTCAATCAGTCTTGTACTAAGAGCAGTGGCTGCACATATTCATATAGATGAAGCCAAGTCTTCAAATAACCTGTCCCAAGTCTATTTTGCTCCAAAGGCCAGTATTTCAAATTGGGCCTAGAGACACACTATTAACTTGCACAGTCATGTAATATCTCTGTTGCATATTCCAACAGTTGTCCCCCACCCCAAAATCTGAGCAGCTACATTTTCACCATTTGAAGTTTCCCAACCATTTTTAAAAGCTAAGGGTGAACATGGGCACTAGTTTGTATGTCACTAGTGCATGAGTAACAGAGGCTAAGCTTGCCTTTTCTAGCTGAGGTTGTAAGGTGTAAAGGAAGAGCAGTGACTGTTTTCAGTACCCCAAACTACATCTAAGGACTTAGCTGCATTGGTAAAGAAAAAGCACTTTATATGCGTTGTATATGCATTCTAACACTGTGACACCAGATGGCGCTGTGGAGTTTCATTTTGGCCAACCCGACTTCTCATACAAAGTTTACAACGAGTTTAGCTGAAACGCTTCTTTGATGTGTCTAGATCTAGCCTAGGTCTCTGCTGGTTTGAAGAATTATACTGTTGTCTATTTTCAGAAATGGGCAGGTTTTCCTTACAAAGTATTTTCCTCATTTTGAATAGCTATTGACTTTTCTTTCATCAAAGAAAAAGAATCAATACTGCCATTAATTTTCTTTGATATATTTATGAACCAATAACGTAAATGAATCAAGAACACAACAGATAACATTTCAAGTTTCATAAGCTGCTAGCCAGAATTATTATTAATTGTATAAGCTTGATCCAGAGTATGTTAGTTGCACTTGGACCCCACTGAAATCTCTGTGAAAAGTTAGTTGTGGTTTAAATCCCACTGATTTGCATAGGAACTATGCACATCAAATGTTTTTTCTCTTGTTGTTGTCGTTGAAATAATCTATATTCCACCTTTAAATCATAAGTTACAAAAGTAGTGTGCAACCTAATAAGAAAATTTTAAAAAACACATTAAACACCAGTAGGTTTTAAATTTTCATCTGCCGTACCAAAGGACGAATAAAAATGGATCAAACTTATCAAAGGCTTAGTACGGTCTGATGGAACAAATGTATTTTTACTAGGCAATGAAATATCAGTACCATTGTGCTTGCCAGATATCCAGGGGGAAACAGTTGCACAAGGTACAGTAGGAGTCTCCACACAGAAAGCCCACCTCCAAGTGATCATAGTGGACTGGTAGATCTATTCAGAAGGAGATGCTATTTCAGATAGCATGATTCCAAGCTGTATAGGGCCTTATCAGCACTATTTTAAGACTCTGGTAGCGAATTGGCAGCCATTGAAATTCTTTAAGCATGGTAATATATGTGTGTGCAAGATGGTATCCCAATTAGGTCTTCAGGTGCAGCCTTTTGAACCAACTGCAGCTTCCGATCCAAAGCTGTGGGCCGTTGCACATAGAGCTCATTGCAATAAGGCAGTCTTTAGGCTACTAATACATAGATCATTGGAGCTCAGCTATCTGTGTCCAGGAATGGCTGAAGTTGGCATAGCATCCAAAACTAGTTAAAGGCACTCCAAATTACTGAAGCTAGTTACAGTGGGATAGCTCAGTCGGTAGAGCATGAGACTCTTAATCTCAAGGTCATGGGTTGAACAAAAAGATTCTTGAATTGGGCTAGATGGCCCTTGTGGTCCTTTCTAACTCTATGCTTCTATGATTGAGGAGAATCTCCAAACTGTGCACTGCTTCTTTAAGGGCAATGCAATTACCGTATTTTTCGCTCTATAACATGCACCCGACCATAACACGCACATAGTTTTTAGATGAGGAAAACAAGAAAAAAAATATTCTAAACGAAACAGTGGATGTATAATTTTTGTGGTTCATGCTGTGGCCACAGACATGTGATCTGATGGTGAGTTTGGGGTAGCCCAATGCAAAAATCCTGAGGATCCATGTGGATCCATGCTTTGTACCCACGTTTTTGCACCACTGCGGCCCCAGGCAACAGTGGGTGCGTGATTTTTTTGGTGCAAGCTGTAGCCATGGACATGCTATGTGATATGATGGTGAATTTGGGGTGACCCAGTGCAAAAATCCTGAGGATCCATGTGGATCCGTGCTTTGTAACCAGGCTCTCTGTCCCTCTCTCCTCCCCACTAAGCGTCTCTTCTCCCGCTTTGCTGTTTCATTTTTTTTTTTTTAAATCATATTTATTAAAGTTTCCAAAAATATAAAAATACAAAGAAAAAAGACAAAAGAAAAAAGATATTTAAAAACCTTACTTTCATTCCCTACTTTCTGGGACTCCCCCCCCCCCAATTGTATTCCCCTTTCCTTAATTTGGTTCTACAAGCTCTCACTCCCAATTTAAAGCTTAATTTGTTTAACCCACTATCCAGATTGAATTGTACAAATCTTACCACCGTCCCACATCATTAACCGCAAAAGAAAACAGATTTTCCCCAAGATCCACCCCTGTTCCTTCCACAAAGTCCCTTTTTTTAAACACGTCCGATCAAAGTAAAATAACATGCGTAAGTTATGTAAAGAAATAGAAAATAAGAGATATAGAAAAATTCAAAAAATGGTTACACAGCCTTTGGATTTGAAATCTCCCCCCTTCCCGGTTTGAATTCCCCATGTCCATCAGTCTATACATTATCAGCTTGGAAGTCTCATTTCATGACCAGATTTCTCCCGATTCCATCTTGCCGGTTTTCTTTTAGTTTATTAATTTAAATAATATTTGACTTCAAATGTCCAATCTAACAAAGGCCTTTAATTTCCTTGATCTTTACCACTCCTCCCGTTGTTCTTTCCGTGTCGTAATCAGTCCTTTATTCTTCTTATTCCTCACTTTCTCAGGTTTCTTGTCCTGTTCAGCTGCTAAAACTTTCTAATTCAGAAATCTAGTGTCTCTGCAGAGGTTTGTTATTCAGGAACAAAAACTTACGTCCAGTCCCTTTCTTTCTTCAATAAAAAATTCCATTGTCTTCCTCTGTAGACAAAATACTCTTTCAGTTTTGCAGCTTTCCCAGAAGATAACAAATCCTGTGCGAATCCCAGGGTATTTTCCACTTACGACCGTTCTTGTAGTATCCAGAAAACCATCTAGTGTGATTGTAATAACTTTGTATCCTCTAATCCAAAAGTCAAATTGTTGCTTATTTTCCAACAGTTTATATCCATATTATAGCAAATTGTAACAAAATTAACCAGCAAGGTCCTCATAAAGTCCTCTTTATATTCTCCAGCTTTGACAGCCACTTTGACAGCTGTCAAAGTCTCCGTCTCTCTTCACCAGGCTCCACGAATCGCCCCGGTTCCCAGGGGGGGGGTTGCATTTTCTTCTCACCCTCCACTCTTCTCCTCCAGCACATTTCTTATAATTTCCCATCGTGAAATTAATGATTTTTATCAGAGACATACTTCCCTTTGGACCTTGGTTACCCAGTCCTTGTTTTGGAATGCTTACAATAGGGGGATTGACTTCCTTTTAAATCGCCCCGCTCGTGCCAAATCCAAAATTTTGAACCCGGTTTCCCAATTACTCACGGGTTGTTGTTAATAGTCCAAATTTTCAATAGAAGAAGTCAGCGCTCTCCGTCGAATGGCATGCGGCTGCGCTCGGCAGGAAAGCAGTGGACTCAAAGCACCACGCCACTCCCGGCACCCGATCCGAAGCCTTTAAAAGGCTCCTTCACGAGTCGGGAGGCGCTAATGGTGCAAGCCGAGTCACCCATGTCCACGGACTCCGTGCCCGTGGTTTTTAAGGGTCCCCGCGTCGCCGGCGCGGTAGGACCCAACCCCTGCCGAGCAGACTCCCTCCGGAGCTCGGAGGGAGTCCGCCATTCGGCGATGGCGCTAACCCGGAAGTTGGCCGAGGGAGCCAGCTGTTTCAAAGCGAGCAAAGCGAGCCACGGAGGAGGGAAGGAAGGGGAACCATGGATCCTCTGCTTACGACTGCAGCAGATCCCCCCGCCATCCGTAGGCATTCGCTCCATAACACGCACAGACATTTCCCCTTATTTTCTAGGAGAAAAAAAGTGAGTGTTATGGAGCAAAAAATACGGTATGTCTAGAACAGATTGACCAGTTCTCAGACCTGAGACCTACTTGCACACGGAGCCTTCATCTTCTCAGGATGCGCACCAACAGCTTATAGCCCACCCCTGTGACCAGCACACCCACCCAGGGCAAGTGTATCTAGGACGCACTATATCATTAATAAGAGTGTAGTGGCTTTGTCCCATAAACTCAGTACAACCATTGTGAACTTGAACCAGAATGCATGCACTCGGCCTTAGTTCCATTTAGTACTATGATGCTATTACAGTCACATGTGGCCTAGAAAAGCAAAACAATACCATATAAAGAAAGATTAAACATCAGCCATTTTTGAAGTTATGAATCAACTCAAGGCACAAAAGAAAGGGACTAGGGAAATGGAGCTCTCTTTTTTTTGCTACCAAAGCACAACTACAGAGTTTGCTCTTTATTTCATGTAATAATTCTGCCATTTGCTGAAAACAGCCTTGCCTTTTCATTCCGTTTTGTACAGATACTGCAAATAATATTTGCACTGCAATTTCTAGGTACTAAACAAACAGAAAAATAATCATCCTTCTAATTGCCTTTCTACTATACATACAGTACATCCTTTCTTCTTAAAAGATGTGATGACATTTCATGAATGCCCACAGGAGTGCAAATTTATACCCTCTGTTGTTAATTCTCTTTCATGTTGTGACAACTTGCCAGTAAGTTTATTAATAAGGTGGGTGTTTGTTTGTTTTTTAAAAAATGATGGTTTGTTTCTTATGACTCAAAAATGCTTTGAGTATTAGAGAAATGTAAAAGCTTGCCAGATAGGAAGAAAGAACAAAAGAAAATGTACCAGTTGTTTTAGACAGAGGGAGATGCATTGGGGGCTCATCACATGCTAGGTGAGAAGGAGGGCCCATCCCATTCCTCAGCCACAATACTCTGAGTCATAACAGCAAGCCTTAAAGGTAAAGGTACCCCTGCCCGTACCGGCCAGTCGTGTCCGACTCTAGGGTTGCGTGCTCATCTCGCTCAAGAGGCCGGGAGCCAGCGCTGTCCGAAGACACTTCCGGGTCACGTGGCCAGCGTGACTAAGCGGCATCTGGCGAGCCAGCACCGGCGCCGCACACGGAAACGCCGTTTACCTTCCTGCTATAAAACGGTACCTATTTATCTATTTGCACTTAGGGGTGCTTTCAAACTGCTAGGTGGGCAGGAGCTGGGACCGAACGACAGGAGCTCACCCCACCGCGGGGATTCGAACCACCGACCTTGCGATCAGCAAGTCCTAGGCACTGAGGTTTTACCCACAGCGCCACCTGCGTCCCCTAACAGCAAGCCTTAAGGTGCTGTTATTTATTGCTTGATCATTTATAATCATCCAGAAGGCTGACCTGGTCTTTGTCAATGAAATTTGAGAAGGTGGAGTTCCACTTCTTTGCCCACCAGAATGCCTAGGGTAGCATCAACGCAGACTCAAGGGTCAGAGAGGAAACTTCACTGTGTCTCCCTCTCCAGGCTCCCCCTCCCCATCATCTAACCAGTAGTTGATTGTTTTAAGTGTTTGTATCTGATGTTGGGTACTAGGGACAGGGTAGGACACCTCTGCAGACGTTGAGTGTGTGTATGTCAAGAGTGAGGTCTGGGGAGCGTGGAATGTGTGGTGGGATTACTAAGCTGATCCTGCTCTCCCCTTTCCCCAAATGTTTATGCATTGGAATGGTCTGAATAGGACCCTTGTTGTTCCCTGACCGTAACTGAACTTGGAAAGTCACACTCAGCAGGAATCCAACAGAGTTGTTTGTAGAACTTCTGAATGCCTGGAAGGGTGACTAGATGCCTACATTTAATCACTGTGTAAATTGCTTTGAGGTATCATACTTAGAGAGGTAAATTTTGAGGTATCATACTTAGAGAGAGAAAATAAATAGCAGGTACTTTCAAATGCTCTCACCCTCCCCGCCTCGTATGCAGCAGTTAAACCTACAGGCCAAAAGAGTTGCTACTTCATGTGGAATTTAGGATTCATATTTCTGAGTCTAAAACTGTTCATGCAGTACAATCATGCAGTAACTGAAAGTGCCAGCAAATCAATATGTTGAATTTCATAGGAACCATTTAGCAGATGTTGTCACACTACTCTGCTAATTACTCTCCTCCCCCACCCAAAACACAATGGTTTTAGAGGGAGGAAATGAGTGCAAACATATAAATTCAGCTCCCATTCTGTAGAGGGAAAGTGCACTGTTATTTTTGGCATCCACGCAGGACTAGCTTGTGTTTAATCTGGAACAACACAGATGGATATTCGGTGAAGGCTGTTGCTGATACCCTCTGAGTTTAGTCTTCACTTTTTTTCAAATCAAGAAGAAATGTGCAGCATACTCCATATATACAACCGATTAAGTATATACAGTTGGGGAAGGGCCATAGCTTAGCAGTAGAGAACATGCACTGCAAGCAGCAGGTCCCCAATTCAATTCCAGGCTTCTCCAGGTATGGAACTATCTGAAACTGAGCTTCAGAGCTCACTGCAGACAGTACTAACTGAGCTAGCTACTGGACCATTGGTCTGGCTCAATAGAAGGTTCCAATTAAGAAATGAGACCCATTGAAGTAATTGAGGCATGCTTCCAATGTCATGTGCTGAGCATCAGAGTATTCACAGAGAATATGCAGGCCTTTAGGGAATAATGTTCCTTGCATCAGTGTTTTCCCCTCTTATTCCCATGGGCACACGTTGGAAACATTATCACCGATGCCCTTCTATGTTCTTTTGCTTAGTTACCCAACAGATATCAAATAACTTGGCCCTCCTCATTCTGCATGACTGATAACATGTTTGTAATTATATGACATGCTGAGAATCTCAGCAAATGTCCCAAGAGTCAGGGGACGTCTTACCACAAAGTGAGATAAAGCAGCTGTTTTGAGCAGCATAATTCCAGGGGGAACTGGAGTTTCATGCCTCCCACTGCCATCTCTGGATGTTATTATCTAATAAAAGATAACCTGAGGGAGAGAAATGTCTTTGGCTGGTGGCAGCAAGGATGCATATTAATTTAAATATTAAATGTAAATCAATAAAAAGGCTCTGGCAACTGTGTCCTAATTAAGTAATGCACGTGCTTATTCCGTTATTTCATTGAAGCATATCCAGATATTTGTGGTTTGCATTGCTGCTTTGATAATCCTAACCATAATCATGACTGTGGGGTGTGGAGGGGTCCATTTTCATTGTTACATTTTAATCTCTTCCCTTTGCTTATGAAGATGCTCGGTGAAATTGTTTACTACTTATGCTTCTGCTTTCTTCAGTCACTAAGCATTATATTTCTCAGACTTATAGCTATACTCTCATGCTTATACATGGGATTTCTGCTGGGAAAAGGCCAAGCATGACTTGGAAAGCTGATAACGTCTTTTCAGCAAATAATCACGCTCCGGAAACGCGATGAATGTAATCCTGGCAAGAGCTGGATACGATGTCACACAGGCATGTGCTGGGTTAAAACGGCCTCTTCATTTTCTGATTTGGGATTCCTTTTCCAGCAGGGATTGGAAACTGTCATGGTTTGGTAAAAGAGAATCATTTAGATGTGAAAACCTGGGCTGGACACTATTTTTTAAAAGAAAATGGAGTGGTTTGAGAGAGAACTTTTTCCCATGGCATGCATTCCTATTTCTTTTGTCCTGCTGTCACCTCTTGTCAAACACATTTGACAGATTTTTGAAACAATGCAAAATCCCTGTCAAACCTGTTTCCCAAAAGGAAAAAGCAGGACAAGCATTTGCACCACACCCAATGATCCTTCCTCTAGAATGCCTCCGATTCTCTGAAATGAAAACTCCCATCTGGGCTGTATCGTACTAACACTACATGCACTGAAATTAATAGACCTAAGGTATTCATGTTTCTAAATTTTAGTGGGACTGCTCTGACTACTAAGATCAGATATGGCCCTCTTTCTCCAGCGATACAGCCATTACCTATCAGATGCCCTGTCATTCCAGCTACAGGAAGTATGACCCTGCCTTGCAGCAGGATTCAACCATGTTGCAGCCAGACATGCTTTCTTTCTTTCTACCCAGCTGTCTCCCCCAGTGCCTTCCCGCTCTTGTCTTTTATACCCAGATGTTTCTGTTATCCCCCTACTTACTTCAGCATTAATTTCTCCCTTTCACCATCATGAATTCTTTCTGTGGGATTTTGTCTGCACAGACCACTCAGGACCTTCTAGAAAGCTGCAGTTGTGAGTACACACTAGATACTATCTCCTCCTTTGTCTAGCTGGCAAGGTGAGTGATGGTACCAGTAACCAACTCAGGCTTTATATATAATTCTAACCTGGAGGCTTATGAGGTCTGTGTTAGGCTGATGAAGAATGTGAGAGAGCCCATCTTCTAACCTAGGGTAAGGATGGGGAACCTTCCTAGCCCAGGAGGCCAGGTCTTTGTCTCCTTCACCTGCCACAGATCAACTTCGACAAATAGGTGGAACCATCTATCTGACAACCAGCTGACACCATAATGACACCAGGTGATTGACACATGTCAAAATTCTTTGGAAGATGTGCTCTCAGCACTAATCAAAGGGGGGCCCCTTTAAGCAACAATCAGATGGTGCTCTGTTAGAGGAAGCCCCTTTGAAGTCTCTGCAGAGGGGCAATTAGGAGCATTTCCCCCTTTTGCAGGGAAAGCAGTTTGTGCTGGGGGAAGCACTGTGAATAGTAACTGCTTCCTTTGGAGAGAAAGAAAATGGAATCTGGAAAGGACCTTGTGGTGCTTTTCAAGTGCTGCACAAGGGGCTTTGTAAGTCCTCTGTTTGGGCTCGCTAAGCACTTTGTGTCGTGTCCCAATTGCCCAACAAGCAGCTGGTTGTCAGGATAGGTGCTGCACAGGGGGCTTTGCAGGCACTGCCAGTTGACCAAGCCCCACCTGTACCTGCAGGTGGGCATGATTTGGCTGAAACAGGTTCATGGGCCGGATTAGGCCCATGGGCTGAAGGTTCCCCATCTCTGTTCTCGTAGGAATGGATGAAAGAATTTTATCTGTGTCTGTTGTTGAAGTCTCTTCCTATGTATGCTTAACACTTCATGGATTTGGGAAGCACAACGAGATTATTGTTATTTAAATAGTCTGGCTTTTGTTAACCAGGCGGTGTGGTGCCTTCATACTTGCTTTGTTTTATTTGCTTGACATTTTATATATTTTTAATTGTAGTGTTCCTTGCTTTGGGATTAGGCAAGCTTAAAATCTCTAATGAAGCAGTATAATAATAAGGGGTATGAAACTCTCTATGGGGTATTTCCATGATTCATTGTGTACCCTTTACCTGCTGTCAAGCGCAACCTTATCTTTCCTAATAAATCCAAACAGATTTTTATTCTTTGAATAAATAACTTTTTGTAAAGTTTTGCTTCGGAATGGGGCTGGCACATCTGCACCTGAGATTTTGAAAGTCACAAAGCAGGATGCAATTTTTCATCAGGAGTGCAGCCAAGGGACTTGGCCCAAAGCTTAATGAAAGTGTCAGACACAGAAATATATATTAATAAACTGCCTTTCATGATCCGTCTCTCTTTCATTTGACATCTCTGTTACCCGACAGAGACAGCTGCCTTTTTCCTTGAAAAGTTTTGGAGACTGCAATTAAACATATCATACAATGTAGATGCTTGTCAAGCCGCACCTCGTTAAGTTATCCCTGCAAAATGCCAAATATAGCCACATCATTACTGTATAATGGCAATGGGTCTTTTCATTTGGAATGCCAGGTATCATTCTGGAAAGTAATGCCACGGCTTCTGTTTTGAACACAAATCTGGAAGTGGAAAATTATAGAGTGCAAACTAATCGGAAGCTGAGCAAGCAGAGTTGGTGCATGTTTAACAGTGTAACCTCTTGGTGAGCTGTTTCTCTTTCTCATCCTATGAAATGGAGATACCGTATTTTCCGCTCCATAAGACGCACCTAATTTTTAGAGGGGGAAAGCAAGGAAAAAAATATTTTGCGCAGAGCGTATAAGCGGCTCTCGCTTTTTTTGCTTTAAACCCTTCCGTCCCTCCTCCCGCTTTGCTGAGAAGCCAGCAGAGCAAGAGCGATAGCTGCGCAGCGCTTCTTCTGCTGGCTTCCCAGCAAAGCAGGATGAGGGACAAAAAGGAGCCCTTACAAAAGGAGCGCTGAGCAGAGGCTGGCAGCGGTTCTTGCTGGCTTTTCTGGGAGGTGGGGGAAGGGACAGAGGGCAGCCCCTCAGTCCTTTCCCCCACCTCATAGAAAAGCCCCCAAGAGCCACACACTCTTTAAAGAGCCATGCCTAGCGTATGTGCAGCTCTTGGGGGCTTTTCCCTGATGAGGGAGAAGGGACTGATGGGCTGCCCTTCTCCCTCCTCGGGGAAAAGCCCTCAAGAGCAGCACACACAGTCCACGTGGCTCTTTAAAGGGAGCACTGAGCAGAGCCTCCCGCCTGCATTCGCTCCATAAGACGCACACACCTTTCCCCTTACTTTTTAGGAGGGAAAAAGTGTATCCTATGGAGCGAAAAATACGGTATTTCTTCTATAGTAATCTGCCTGATAAGAAATCTGAGAAAGCAGGCAAATGGTCAAATTCCATGTGAATACAGGCAACCCCTTGTATGTCCCATTTAAAAAAAAAAAAAAGCCACCCTGCTTTTCAGATGTTGTTGGACTCTAATTCTTATCGACCTGAACCATCATGGCCAATGGTCAAAGATTATCGGAAAGGCAGGTCAACAACACCTTAAGAGCCACAAGTTCCCCATCCCTGTCTAAAGTATCCTTCCTACACCTACTATCTTTTTTGCAAGACTGAAAATGTCTATGTCAGTGGTTACCAATTGGTGATCCGCAGACCCCAGGGGGTCCACATAACCCACCCAGGGGGTCTGTGGCTCCAATCACATAACAAAAATTACCATGGAGATATCAAAATTTTCAAAAGTAGGGGGTCCACAGTACTTAGTTAATTGGGAACCACTGGATTATGCTCTTAACCGGTGGGCCTTGGGCCTAAGAGCTTATCCACACTTACCGTTTCCCCTGCTCTTTCTAGGCATAGGTCTTTAAAACTCACTCTTTAAAGCTGAAGTGAAACAAATAGCAATTCAAGTTTTCCGTGGAGCCAAAAAAAGAGTGCTTGAACATGGAGCTTTAAAACTTAGACCATGCCTTGAAAGTACAGAGGAAATCTAAGTGTGGATAAGCCCTAAATTAAGCTGTGGAAAGCTTTATCATGACTACAAGATTGTCAGTCTAAACCTTCTGGCAACAACCCACAGTCTTTTATATTGGAACAGTCACTTTGTGATTCCCAGTGCTGTAAAGAGTCTTGCTTTGTTCAGAAGGACACACTGGGCTGTGAGCCCAATTCAAAAGCTAAATCCCCACCATGATACACAATAGGGATGGAGAACTTGTGGACCTCCACCTATTGCTGGGCTACAGTTCCCTCTATTGGCTATGGTAGCAAAAGCTGGTAGAAGCTAGAGGTTTCCCTCCCTGGTGGAAAAGATTCTTGTCCCCTAACAATGCAGTGATCCTATATATGTCTCTTCAGAAATAAAGCCCACTGACTTCAATGGGGCTTGCTCCCAGATAAGTGGCTATGAATTTGCAACCTAATATCTCAGTATACTTTCAGTATACGTGGTTAATTGTAGAGCTGAGTGAAAATACCTTCCCATATTTCTCACCCTGTTTTCATGTGGTGAATTTGGGGTTATTTGCATATTTCAGAGGGATTAACAGGTAAGCAGGAGTTCTTCATTTCTAAACACTACATTGCAGTTTCATTGTTTGTTTTTCATCATGGTGTAGTATAAATCCACAGGTGGAGAATAGTAGCAGCCATTCTGAGATTCCAGCCAGAAGTTCCTATATAAGAATCTGTGGCTCAGCAGCATTCTTTGCAGTTCCCAGAATGTCATAGATTGTGATAATAACTACATTTAATAGTACATGGCATCAAATACTATTACCATGAAAACATTCTAGACAGTGTTTTAAATGCAGAATGGGGCAGGTGTCCAAATTAACTAAACATTATAGAGAAGAGTCTAGGCATGTAATTTTATGTACATCTCTTGGTAATACATGTCATAAGATCTACATGACAGGGGAGGTAAATGCTGAAAGGACAAGAAAACAAAAACGTGATTTCAAGCAATTTGGTGCTGCACACTCCTGTTCCTGTCAGATTGATCCAAGCAAGATCATAGCCAGCTACCAAGCAAACCTAATTAGCACGTCAACAGCCATATTATATATCCATTCTCATGTAGTTTTAGCTTCACAGAAGCGGCAAAGATTGTTTTTGTCTGAGCTGAGTGCATATTCTCTCCTGACCCCTGAGAATATGCTTTCCTTCCATCTTTGTTTCATGTTCCTCGTTGGTTGAAATAATTGTTGTTGTTGTTTGGTGGGGGGCTTTCTTGCTTTTGCAAAAAAAACAGAGGCTACATTTTAGGTATGAGAAACATAGTAGAAACTTACTGCTTGCAGTCTGGTTCTAGCCTAACGTAGCATAAGTTAACACAGCTGTAGTACTCCAACATTACACCATCATTATGGACCAGGACATAACTGGGACATGGGTGGCGCTGTGGGCTAAACCACTGAGCCTCTTGGGCTTCCCGATCAGAAGGTTGGCGGTTCGAATCCCTGCGACGGGGTGATTGCTCTGCCCCAGCTCCTGACAACCTAGCAGTTCAAAAGCACGCCAGTGCAAGTAGATAAATAGGCACTGCTGTAGCGGGAAGGTAAAAAGCATTTCTGTGCACTCTGTTTTCAGTCATGCTGGCTACATGACCTGGAAAGCTGTCAGTGGGCAAATGCCAGGTCCCTCAGCCTGAAAGCAAGATGAGCGCCACAACTCCATAGTCGCTTTTGACTGGACTTAACCGTCCAGGGGTCCTTTACCTTTTACCTTTACCAGGACATTCTGCTGTTGCATCTGACTTGATTCAGCTGATCCAGGTAAGGTTGCTGGAGCTCTGCACAAGAGGAATAGTGGAGGCATCTACTGTCTTGTGGCTGACATAAAGTTGGTAACCCAATAACTGTGACAACCGAGGAATTATGGCAACTGCCGCAACTTTTTTCGCTGTGAGGAACCATGACCTTTCCTCCATGCGTTCATTTAATAATAACAGTAAAAAGGGGGAATTGTGAATAGTGGTATTAAGAAACTGTAGAATTAAATCTGGCTCTGGAATGCTGCAGTGAACGACTCTGTGGGAAAATTATGTATTTCTGGCTGTGCAACAGTTGCCTTCCACCCTTCAAACTCTGCCTGCAATCTGCTTCTAATTAGCCTGCTAGACAACACATGGCGTGTGAGCCACTGGGAGCTGTTCATCTTTGTGTAGCTTCCATTCCTTTATTATTATTATTTAAAAATAAAAAGGTATACCGCTTAATTGTCAAGACCCCTCTAAGCGGTTTACATAGAACATAGTTTTAATATAGATTTTATCAGTAAAAG